TGTTAAAAGTTTTTTTAACCTGCAGTTGTGTACATATCCCAACATTATGGTACTTTCCCCACTTCTATAGTCCCTCCTGTGACTGTGATTAATTGATCTGTTGCCAATTATGATTTTATGACTATTTCCTTTTTTTTTTTTCATTGTCTGTAATTTGCCAGATGGCAGTGAATCCTTTGGATACCATTATGGCCTCATGTTGATGATTTCCCTCATCTAGACGATTCATCTTGTCCTGTCTCGGTCCTGTTTAAGGCTTAATAAGAGGCTCGCTATTTAAAAAACGAAAGGGACTGTGTTCTGTCAAAGGTGGAAAACTTGTGAGGCCCAGAAACACAGTAGTGGCCCTTTGAGTTCCGGCTCTCACTGTTTTTTTTGTACTTGGATACTGTCTGCTGCTCTTGGTTGGTGTTTTACCAGCTTGAGACATCAGAGCAGATGGTCCATAAATTTCTTAGGGCATATCCCAAAGGTCGCTGTTCATAGGGCCCAGGCAAGTCATTTCCATGACTAATGTTGCCTAACTGTAAGGCGTTCAGGAGAGATGGAGACCCCAGTGAACGGCAGCACGCATTCTCCACCCAAATGGGGCAGCTGCGACTCTCCTTCAGGTTAACTTGCCACATGCGAACTGACAAGCCTTGTGTGCAGCATTTCCTAGGTTTTTGATGTAGAATTTGCCAGGTTTTCAACAGGCACTTGCAATCTGCCTCTTTCATGTAGACTTAATTTTTTTTTTTAAATGTTGACAATTAGTATGAATTTTAAAATAGTACTGGTCAAATAGAACTTATCTGTGGATTGAGCATGATTCACAGGCCATCTGTTTGGTTTATTCTGTAATGGTGAATTCCCATGGGCATAGTTTGAGGAAGAGTAAGGTTTACTATTAAGAGTCGTCCGTCCTTTGGGGCCAGTATAGATCTTTCTTTCAGGTACTCATGGAAGAAACTGTTACTGTTTCACAAACTCTCAGGTATTTAAGGAGACTATGTTGTTGTTAAGTGCCGTTGAGTTGGTTCCGACCCATAGCGACCCTGTACAGGGTTTCCGAGGGTGTAAATCTTTACGGGAGTAGAAAGCCTCATCCTTCTCCCGCAGAGCAGCTGGTAGTTTCAAACCGCTGACCTTAAGGTTCGCAGCCCGATTCGTAACCACTACGCTACCAGAGCTCCTACATTGCTTTTTATCCTTATGGAGAAAAAAACTGGTAACTTGATGTTAAGGGTTCAGCTTTTCATGTGGGGCTACTAAACACTGAGAATGATAGGTCAAAGATGCCACATTTCGGACCTATGTACCCTTGTTTGGAAAGGCTGAAATAATTGTGGTGGTGATTGTGTATTTTCAAGTTAGTTCTGACTCATAGCCACGCTTACAGGGTTTCCAAGGGTATAAATCTTTAGGGAAACAGAAAGCCTCATCTGTCTGCCTCAGAGCATCTGGTGGATTTGAATTGCTGATGCCCAACTCGTAACCCACTATACCCACCAGGACTCCTTGAAGTAACTGTGGTGATCCTAAATACTTTTTAAACTCACCAGTCTTCATAGTACAAATCTTCATCCTACATGTTGACAGAGAAGTTGCTACGAAATTTTATTGGTACACTGGAGAAAATAATAATTCTGCTTATGACTTAGTAGCAGTTTGTACAGTATGCAGATAAAACTGCCAGTGTTTACTCTTTGAAAGGAAGAACATCTACACACCGACTCAGCAAAAGTACTTTGTAGTGATTTGTCGCCTGTGAAGAGATACCCCCTAACGTTTATCTTACTGCCATGAAAACGAATGTGAGGTGGTATAAACATAACCTATTAAGGGAGACTTTTTCTTGTTAAGGGCTTTCCAGTCGGCTTCAGCTCACAGCAATGCTGTAGGGTTTCCGAGGCTGTAAATCTTGGTCGGAGCAGAAAGCCTCATCATTGTCCTAAAGAAAGGCTGGTGGGCTCAAACAGCAACCTGTTGTTTGAAGTCCAATGCTTACCTACAGAGTCACTGTGCTAGGACAATTACTTTTATTGGACATTTTGATAGAAATGCTCAACACTAATGAATACATCAAAAACCATACTTTATTTTTATGTATAGCAATACAATTTACATATTAAATAACACTATAATAGAATGATTTGATATAGTTTCAAACAGAAGAAAAAAAGGAAATTTTTCAGGTTACAAAACCCCTCCCACTTGATCAACTGAAAAACAAAAACAACTGAAAACCAAAATCACTTTTTCCAAATGCGTCAATGCAACAAATGTATTCAGTGACTAAATGTGTCTGTTTCCTATTGCACAAATGGTCAATGGAATTTAAACAGAAAACCCAACTTTCACAATCACTTCATCAAAGAAATAACACATGTTGGATTCTTTTGGAATGAAACTATGGTTCTTGCTACTTCAATACACAAAGTTGAATTCACATAGCCACCACAAAAAAAAAAAAAAAAAAAAAAAAAAAATTAAAAACAAAACAAAACAAAAAACCTATGACGGAGTTGAAACTAGAAAAAAATTAGCTTTATATGAAAATATAAAATTCTATGATTATATACCATAGATACAAAGTCCCCAGAAGATGCTTATCCAAGCAACAAAATATTTACAGTTTGAATGATTTTAGCGATCTCAAAATGAAGTGAATGAAACAGGACTTAACATGAGGGCTGAGTTCTTTAGAAACAATGGCTGCTTGCTATTTCAAATGTCCTAACAAAAAGGGAGTCACTACCCCAAATGTTGGAGAGTTGCGACATTTTATAAAATTGACTGTCTCCTTTTCTGGAGATGTTTATTTCTTAAAACTCAAGATATTTTTCTTGAAATTAATTATCTTCTGTAGAAAACGCTTTCCTTTGCAAATATTTAACAAAAATACTAAAAACAGTTTAACAGCTAAGACAAAGTAGAGGCCAAATATTCATGATTACAATCCCTTCCTATTTGTAGCATGCCTTCTTTCTAGAGATAAGTAAAGCCAATAGTGTATGTTCAGTGGTAGCTAAGGGAAAGCACAAAGAATTAAGTGAAATTCCAGCTATTTGCCAAAAAAAAAAAGCAGGTATTTCCCCTTCATATAAAAATTCACTGGCCCCATTTGAACATAACCTTCAGAACACAAGATTTGAAAATTCATTTTCCAGTTAAGCATAAACTGTAAATTCATAAGACAAGCTACATTTTTATTATTATTTCTTAAATTATGAGTTTGGGTTGCCTTTTTTTTTTTTTGCTTAGAATTAGTAATATGTATCTTTGGTAAATTGGTATCTTTAATTTTAAATACAGTATATATGCATTTAAGAAAAATTTATAACAAGGCAGTTGTGCTGTATCACTATAAAATAATTAAGGTTATTGTTGATTTTAGTATGTCACTCTGGGCTAAAAACTGCATCAGCCAGACCTTGAACCCCATCACCCATCTCTAACCTTACAGACCTCTTCTGCTGGAAACCGACTCTAAAAGTTCTACGACATAAAAATTAGGAAACCCAAATGTATGAATCTTTTATTTCTGGAAATTCAGAGATTAGCTTTTTTAAAATTCTGTTACTGTTACAACAGAAACCATGGCTTTTGAATTCATGAAAGAGTTGGCCTTATGGCAATAAGATGTCTTTTTTTCTGAGGTCCAGCCTGGCCACTTGGTCTGAGCATTGCAATTCCATTTTGTATGTGTGCATTTTTACCTAGAGCTAAACTCACACATGCAGAAAGCTTTTCAATAAAACAGCACGCATTAATTTGCCATAGCTATTTCCTTATTATGTAGTTAAGCAGTGTGCTTCTGTCTCAAAGAATATACCGTCTTTGAAACACTCTTCTCTGGGAAGGAGAAAGCACATTTTTGCCACTAGAAAACGAAGACCGGTAGTGTGGCTAGACTCCTAAATGGGAGGAACTGCTGGCTGTAACTGTCCTTAGTGAAGGGTGTTGGGGCCACTTTGACAAGACAGGCAAAAAGCAATTGCTCATAGTTCAGTGGGTCAGGATCTGTAGACTTTGGTTCAAGCCTGCTATACATACTTGCTCACAGAGAACTTCTAAACCATTCTTATAATGCTTCTACTCTATTTACTAGCTAACTTTTTCTTTTATTGTGATTCTTATACTCTGTAAGAGATAGTCACAGAATTACATTGGAGGGTATGTAGCACAGAAGGAAATACTTGCTATTTGTTTTATATAGCCAGCGTTCTTGTATTGAGGACTGTGAACCCCAACTTGAAAATTACTTGCAAAATTCAACCCCACTGTGCCATCTACTAAAATGAATTAGCTCATATGAATACTCTATGTAACTAAAAATTGTCTTATTCAAGTGACTAAAAGAAACCTAGCTCTTATTATGATCTGATAACATTTCCTTCATAATTACCCTCAGCCTTGTGGGAGTTGTAGTTACTATGTTCAAGTTTTTTCCTAAGTGTTGGATAGAACTTCTTCCTGTTGCCTCTGATGGGAGTCAAAAAATAAACGAAACCAGTTGCTTCTGAGTCAATTCTGACTCATGGCGACCCCGTGGTTTTCTGAGCAGAGGGGTGGTAAAACTGTGTTGTCTAGTACATACAATTTAGCAAAATTTGCTCATTTGGACACCTTGTCTTAAGCTTAAGCTACACAAGTCTTATAAAAGCAGTTAAGACTCCTCTGTGTTGTTGAATCTGTGGTGAAAGATGAGATTAACCTTGGCAAGTTACGTAGTTGTATGAAAACTCTATTGACCTGTTGTGCATTGAAACTCTTAGATGTGACCTATAGCCTCTCTCTCTCCTCACCAGCACCACTCTGGTAAAGGTCAGATACTGTGGACCCTTAGTGTTCATTCTCACTCATGTGTTAAATGCCTACCCAAATAGTATGATAGGAGCCAGACAGGCCCATTTGTTGACGTTTATTCACATAAAAACAGTCCCCTACATTTCTTAAAAGGTCCAGTTCTTCAGGTGAAGATTTCACTTGGGACAGAACCTGTCCATCAGAAGCAAAAATATCTTATTAATGCTTCCGATCCCATTATGTACTGCAGGATGATATGGCTCTACAGGCTGGACCAACTAGCTTCCTGGGGTCCTCTGAAATGTAATGGAGTGCAGTATTTTACTGAAGTGTTTCTGTTCATGAGGCTAACCTACACAGAACTACCAAGCAGTGTCTCTTCAAAAGAACTTGAGACATAGATACCACCTGTTACTCACTATGCTAACTTTCTTCAAATCAGTTTTATCCATGTGGAGGAGTTTGGACAGACCCAATATTTTGCTAATACAGTATTTTCAATTGAATCTAAAATACTAAAAGACTTGTCATGAAACATTTGGCAAAAAAGGAAAGAAAAGAATGTTAACTATATAGGTAGTTTTTATTAGATTGCTAAACGAGTAATAAGGATTTTTTAGAGGGCTAGGTTCAAAATCACACACCTGAAAGTTTTTCATTCTTCCACCTACCATGAAGTGTATGGTCTTGAAAACCAAGACACAGTAATGGAGAGTAACTCAGAGAGTTTCATAGCTGAGCTGTGTAAAATATTGCCATCTTTCTATTGTAAAAGATAGCCCTGATTTTCGGGTGTAGCTATTTCAGAGAGTCAAAACAGAAATAACACACACTGTTCACGTAGCTACTGTGAAAACTGTAATACAGAGTTATCCTTTATTTTGACACAATTGGGCATTTTTTTTTAAGCTGTGAATATAACCTTGTAACTAATAAATGATGTTCACATGAAGCAACTCTTGTGCCTTCTACTTGTTGAATGGATGTCTTAGCCATCATAAATGGAACTGTCTCAAGGCCCTGAGGTTGACAGACCTTTTTAATAGCATCCAGTAGCCTGCTATTTTGTTAAAGAAAACAATGCTCATCCACTCCATGAAAACACAGAAGGCATACAGTATTGAACAGTGCCTTAAAACACAGGAGAGGAGGACTGAGGAAAAGGACAGCATTGCCCGCTAGAAGGATGCAACTGCTTTAGCAATAATAATAATAATAATAATAAAACAACAAAATCAAAATTCACTGTCATAACAGAGACCTTCACTGTATACTGAACTAAAAAGTAGCATGTGTGCTGTCATGGAATGTCACATCAGGGTTTGCTGTAGTATTCGATTATAGGCAGTAACACTGATCATATAGTGCAAACTAGGTAAAACTGCGTTTCACTGTGTGAAATGAACAGAGGTGCAAATGCTCAGTAGGATACCATTAAGACATAAAATGGCAAAAAATAAATATCAAAACTTTTATCAGTGTAAAAAAGTAACTGGGTTATTGTATAACCTAGAGTCTGGCAAAAAAGGCCTCAAAAAAGTTCTCAGTCTTCAGAAGTTTTACAAATCCGGTGCCCTTTCAGGATTCCAATCACACTAGAGACTCCATGCTCTCTGCAGGGTCGGACTCCTCTGCAATGAGAACAGCACCATTTTTGTCCACTGCCATGGGACCGGTTCCATTTTCTTTAGTGCTGACCAAGCTGAGCATTGCTTTATACACAAACTGGTATTGTTCCTGAAAAACAAGAGGAAGACACTTTTAGTGAATGTCCAGTCCAAGAACAGCTTATAGTCATTTCATCTAAGGTAGAAATACCATGTGAAAACCAAACTTAAGAAACAGGAATATACATTGATGCTGAGAAATTGTCTTAATAATCCCTTGAATTCTTTTTATCAAGACCTGAATCTTCTTATGTCCTTTGATCTCTGTTAGCTGGGAACTAATTCTCAATAATTAACAGTTGCTTGAGATAATGGCAAATCCATAGCTTATAACTAGAGAATACCATACTGTGGAAAACAGGGTCACTCAGCCTCGGGACAGATCATTTTTTCTTGTAGAGGGCTGTCTTGTGCATTGTATGATGTTTCATAGGATACCTTCCCACAAAATAACCACCCCACAGCATCTTGTTATGACAACTCCCCCTCCAGGGGGCGCCGGGACAATCACCTGGGCTCAGTGTTAACTGTTCTAAAGTGTGAGTACAAGTCTCAGTTGATGTTGTACAGGATGTTCAAACAAGCATACTACTTACAATGTCTGTGAATACTCCAGGTCTCATAAGATTGATCATTTTTGCAACCTGAAAAACATCCACAGCATTTTCATTCTCCAGTTGTTGGGACAGGGTGGTAAGGGCACATAACATTCCTGCTGAAACTGCTCCATACCTTGGGGAGAAAAGAAATAAAGACAATGCTACCTCAGATTTACTAAGGGACAAGTCACTAGTCAAAGGCTCTGAAAAATCAAATCGTTCTTAACATCCCCAAACAGCTCAAGTGAACTTTTATTCCATTTTTATTCTTGATATTTTATGTCTCAAAATTAGAGAAATGTCAAAATGCATTTATTACTAATTATTTCTGGCACTGAAGTACCATTTTTCAACTGAGAGCATCTTCTTTGAAAATGCTTACAGAAACACACATGCTTCTCTTTACTTCACATAAGAAAGCAGCTAAGATGGGAGAAGTTCAAGTAGACTTTTTTTGTGTGAGCCTAGGCTGGCAAGTCCCGTTTTCACAGGAACCTGTAACGGTACATAGTTCCCGTACAGTTTAGTGATGAGAAAACAGACGGAGTCAATGAATTGTTGCTAGCGATAGTGCTGCTGGTTGGTGGGAGAAATGAGAGTAGTATTCAGATCGCTGGTGGTGCAGTGGTTAAGCACTCAGCTACCAACCAAAAGGTGGAGAGTTCAGACCCACTAGGGGCTCTCAGGGAGAAAGATGTGGACGTCTATTGTATTTCCATCAATAGTACAGTCTTGGAAACCCATTGTGTCTTAGAGGGTTTGAGATTCCATTTCTTCCATAGGACTGATAGGTATGCTCTAACTTTTTGTTTTCTTTCCATCCCTAATGTCTAAGACGAGCTGCACTTTACCAAGAACATATTCCAAACTGGAGAAAGATTTATAAAATACAAAGTCTCCAAAGTACATAAAATTCATCTGAAATAGAAAAAAAATTATTAAATGAGCATAGATATTATACACAATAACTATACAAGAACCTTCAATGTGCTTTTAAATGACTATAAACAGTAAAATATAATAGGAACTTAAAGAAGCTTGCATTTACTTTGTAAGGAAGAAGTATTTTCAACAAAACTTGTTAAGCATGTTAGCCATTGAATTTATGTACTATTCTTGCTTTATCTCAGCTATAAATCATTTAATCGCCTTTTCATGAAATCCCTATAGTTTTAAGTGCAAATTCATGGAAGTCAGCAAACATCCTTTAATCCTGAGCTTCAGAAAGAGATGGCCTTTATTGTCCCAGTCTTTATTCTTTCAGTACAATACTAAGTAGATACTGGTGGGGTGCCCATTGGTCTTTTAGAAACTATAAATAAGTATGTGGTTTCTGAATTCATTCTTAAATGAAATTAATACATTACAGATGTTTTACATCTTTATTACAAATACTGTAGAATTTTAAACATCTATACATTGAGGTCCAACCTTCTAGATGTAGGTATTGTTGTTGTTGTTGTTAAGTGCCATCGAGTCGGGTCCGACCCATAGCGACCCTGTACAGGGTTTCCGAGGGGGTAAATCTTTACGGGAGTAGAAAGCCTCATCTTTCTCCCGCGGAGCGGCTGGTAGTTTCGAACCGCTGACCTTAAGGTTCGCAGCCCGATTCGTAACCACTACGCTACCAGAGCTCCTTAGATGTAGGTATTATCAGTATATATTTCAACCTAGTTCGTTTTTTTCATGGCTGCATGCATATCAAACAGTTGGACTTACTTTCTTTACACTTGTTATCTTGTGCATGTTAGTAAAGGTATCTTGAGTAGAATAGCTGAGTCCAGGGCATACCCATTTTCAGTTTTAAGATTCACCAAATTTCTCTCTCAAGTGACTGTGACCTGCATATTACTCATCCCAGTTGAGAGTATTTGTTGCCTTTCATCATTTTAAGCTTTAAACACTTTTGTTAATCTGATGGGTGAACCATGTTTATCTAAATTAAATTTTAATATGCATTTCCTTGATTACCTTTTTATGTCTACTGACTATTTGTATTTCATCTTCTGAATTTGCATATTACCAAGTTTTCGCACTGATGTCGATAATGTTTTTGTTGCATGGTAACGACAACAGTGCCGCCTCTCCCAGACCCAGGGTGTTTTCATAGGCATGAAGGCTAATGTCTTTATGGCAACACAGAACACAAATTAGTGCCGCATACATTAAGGGAGGGTGCACTTGGGAAAATCCAGTTAGTTGTGTAAAAATACTGTAATATATTTTGCCCATTTCCTATTAGGTGTGCCTTTTTCAAGTGGATTTACAGGAGTTATTTAATGCTGGGTTTTTGTTCTTCACTGAAATCTGTTTTCTCTTAACCTTGTGGTAGTTTTAGTTAAGTGTAATCACATTTATCAACCTTTGTTTATGACTTTAAAAAAAATCTTTGAAAATGGTTTCTCTAATCCAGTGTTAAAAAAGCTATGTATTTTATTTCTGACATTTGTTTAATTAATCCAGATCTATTTTTGTTCCAATGGAAGGTAGGCGCATGTCTTTATTTTTTCCAAAGAATAGCTGCTTTTCCTGATAGCCTTTATTGAATTGTCTGATCTTCCCCTCAGTGACTTCAGCTGCCGGTTTATCACATGTTTCTGAGCTGTCTATGATGACCCATTAACTTGTTTTATCTATTTTTTGCATGTCTGTACATTTTTGAAAAATAGTTCCTACAGATTTTTAATAACTTTGATATCTGATAAATCGTCTTGACTGTTTCTACATTTATTATGTTTCATGTTAATTTATAAACCAAGGGACACAAAATGTTTTGTTGGGATTGTCATTAGCTTACATTGAACTCAGGATCTGAAGAAATTAACATTTTTTCAACTTTGAGTTTTTCTTTCTATGAACATGGTATCTTTCCCCCAATTAGCCTGGTCTTCATAGCTTTCAATTAAGTTCTGTAGTTTTCTTCATAGTCTTTTACCAATTTACTTTTAGGCTGATTCCTACATTCGTTATGATTTCGTTCTTCCTAAGAATGGCCTCTACTTAGGACACCGTATGGGTTCAGTTTATGTATAGGGAAGCTACTGATTTTCACAAGGTGAAATCTCTAGGTACTTGTTCACACCTTTATCTATCACCAGTACCAGTTTTAAGGAGTCTTGGTAACATAGAGGGTTATGTGTTGGCCTGCTAACTGCAAGGTCAGCAGTTCTAATTTTCAAACTGCTTCTTGGGATAAAGATGATGCTTTCTGCTCCCATTAAATTTCACAGCCTCAGAAACCCTACCAAGGGCACCGTGATTCGGAATCAACTTGATGGAAAACCACCACCTATATACTCTGGTAGCGTAGTGGTTACGAATCGGGCTGCGAACCGCAAGGTCAGCAGTTCAAAACTACCAGCTATTCCGCGGGAGAAAGATGAGGCTTTCTGCTCCCGTTAAGATTTACAGCCTCGGAAACCCTGTACAGGGTCGCTATGAGTCGGAACCGACTCCACGGCACATAACAACAACATACCAGTTTTGCCTCTTTTCGATCTTTATTCATGTTATATTTTTTAATTTTTTTGTTTTATCTGTATTGGTCAGGACTTAAATAGCAAACATTTTAGAAGTTGAAATGAATGTTTTCTATGTTTAGTTTTCTAAAACCAGTTTTTTTTTGGGGGGGGGTGGGGTCACAGATATTTTATTTTATGCTTTGTCACCATCTACTGATTATAAACAACAACAACAAAACTCTTTAATAATATCCTGAATTCAGTGATAGACTTTTGGTAAAACCAGTTCTACATTCAGCAATAAGTCTTAGTTTCTCATGTTATATAATTCTTCCTATACAACACACTGGATTTTATTTGACAAAATTTTATTTGGGATTTTTGCATTTATATTCAGGTAAGTGAGAATGGCCTATACTAGTCTGGTGCTAATCTTGTTTTTGTATCAAGACTCTGTTGCATTTTCCCTGTGTGTTAGTTACTGTTATTCCTCAACTGCCGTTGAGTTGGCTCTGACTCAGTGAGCTTGTGTAGGACATTCGAGGAGAGACTGGTGCGTCTGAACTGTGCTGATCCTACAGCATTACCAGGGCTCCTTAATGCTTGTCCTGTGGTTGTTACATGCTCTTGAATTGGTTCTGACTCACAGTGACCTTGTAGAGGGTTTCAAAGGAGTGGCTGCTGGGCTTGAACCTTCACCCGTATTTAATGTAATATAATACAATTACAGTAACGTTTTGTTGTTTGTCACCACGTAGTACCTGTGTGTTACTATGGAGCCGTGTTTGTACTCTAGGGTTGCTATGAACTGGAATGGACTGGATGACAGAGGGCTGGTTTGCGCAGTGGAGTGAATTAATGTCTCTTCTATCCATAGACCCAGCAGGGCAAAAATGTTGTTTGGTGGCAGTTTATACCAAGTAACATTTTTGCCTAGATTAGTCTGACTATGAGGAGGTAGGAGAATATGCTGATAGGTTGTGAGTGGTTAACTGTGATTGTAAACACCTAGAATTCTAATGGGTCTAAAATTCGCTCTCTCAGGAAAAGGAATGAGGGATCTTACTGCCATCAAAGAACAAGATCCAGAAGTGGAGCGCATATTTTGGACCCTAATATCCCTGTGTATTAAACCTCTTTGACCCAGGGACAGAAAACTGTGACCCTGGAGGAGTGGCAGAGGAATAACAGTAGCAGCAGTGTCTGAGCATGGGACAGAGTGGTGGACTGCCCATGCCCAGTCCATGGAGCAAGTGAAGCCACAGAGTGGTGGACTGCCCATGCCCAGTCCATGGAGCAAGTGAAGCCAAGTGACTCTGGGCAGCTTGCAGAGTCAGGTGCCACCAGGCAATTAATTGAGGAGCTAGATTTGCTAACCAAGATACAGCTTTTTGACTGAGGCTTATGTTGTTATTTTTTAAATTTGGAGTCCTGGTGTGGTACTGTAGGATAAGCACTGGACTACTAACCATAAGGTTGTCAGTTTAAACCCACCAGCCACTCCTTGGAAACCCTCTACAGAGACACAAACTCCTTCCTTAGGACTTTAAAGGGGTCCTGGAAGCACTGTAGGATAAGGACTACTAACCACAAGGTCAAGGTTCAAATCCACAGCTGTTCTTGAAAACACCTATAAGGGGTCGCAGTGAGTCAGTACTGACTCTACAGCATATAACAAATGTTGGAAGTAAATGAAAAAATAAAGTAGAAAAAAATGAAAACAAGGTCTGAAAAAACAAGGGAGATGAGTGCAGTGGTCCTTATGGTGAAAGCCCCGTGGGAGGCAGATGTGAGCTCGTTCTGAGCATCATGGGCTTTGTGTGGCATCACAGAGAGCTGACACTGCCCAGTATCTGCCTTCTCGGATGGCTGCCATGCAGTCTCCCAGGGCTCCAAATAGGTTAATGCTCTGCTGTCTGGAAATTTGGATTTTGTTTTTTTTAAAATGGTCCACATTCTCATTTGGCACTTTATCTTTGAACTTACATCACCAGTCCTGGTTCTGATACTAATTACATATGGGCACAGTACGTTACTTAATCCAAGTAAATTACCCAACTTTACTGCGCCTATGTGACGAAAGGATCCACAAAGTACCTTTCGAGTGATTCTGAGGGTTAATTTCAATATCTGAATGTAAGGCATTTTACATTCATTAAATTATGATTTGTAGATGTCTGGGAGCCCTGGCCAGAAGAACTAACAAATGTGTATTAGAATTAGTGCAGCCAGAATGCTCCTTGGAAGTAAGGGTGGTGAGACTTCCCTCTCATATACTTAGGATACGTTGTAAGGAAAGATCAATCCCTGAAGAAGGATACCATGCTTGGTCAAGTGGAGGGTCAGTGAAAAAGAGGAAGACCCCAATGAGCTGGATTGACACAGTGGCAGCAGCAGTGGGCTCACACAGAGCAGTTTTGAGGATGATACGGGACTGGGCAGTATTTCCTTCTGTTGTGCACAGTGTGGCTACGAGTTGGAATAGACTCAACGGCATCTAGCAAACAGTGAGAGGTATATATATTTATATATATATACACACACGTGGGTTATAGAGGCCAAAGTTTACTAGGAGTTTCCAGGAGCAAAACAAAAATCTTCATCACTGGACCAGTAAACAACATCCATATTAATGGAGAAAAAAATTGAAGTTGTCAAAGACTTCATTTTCCTTAGATAAGCCATCAACACTCATGTTTTATTGTGAATTATGTGATAGTTTACATGGGAGAACATCAGTTTTGTATTCATTCTATCATATATCATTTCATTGCCATGGTTACAATCCCCTCCATGCATCATCAACCAACCAAAGGGTATATACCCTACAAGCCTGCCCCCCCCGGTCGTCAGCACACAGCCCCTCTCCCTCTCTGGGCCTGAAGTCACAAGACCTCTTTAAAGTGTTCAACAGCAAAGACTATCAGTTTGAGGTTTAATGTGCGCCTGACCCAGTCATGGTATTTTCAACAGCCTCATGTGCATGGGAAGTTGGACAGTAAATAAGGAAGACCACAGAAGAATTGATGCATTTGAGTTATTGTGTTGGAGAATATTGAAAGTACCATGAACTGCCAAAAGAACAAATAGATCTGTGTTGAAAGAAGTTATAGCCAGAGTGCTCCTTGGAAGCCAGAATGGTCAGACTTCGTTTCTCATACTTCGGATATATTATCATCATGCCTGGTAAGGTGGAGGGTCAGCAGAAAAGAGGAAAACCCCCAGGAAGATGGATTTGCAAAATGGCAGCAGCAATGGACTCAGGTGAACTAACAATTGTAAGGTTGGCCCAGGATCGGGCAGTGTTTCGTTCGGTTGAGCATAGTGTCACTATGAGTTGGTACCGACCGATGTCATCTAAGAACTAACTAACAGGAGATGAGGGAAGCATTCTGATGTATTTCTTCCAAAACAGATTCATTCTTCTCTAACACCATAACTCAAATGCATCAACTTTCTTCTCTGGTCTTTCTTATTCACTGTCCAACATGCATATGGGGCTACTGAAAATGCCCTGACTTGGATCAGATGCACTTTAGTATACAAACTGACATCTTTGCTTTTTAATACTTCAAAAGGGGTCCCTTGCAATAGATTTATCCAATGCAATACATTGTTTGGTTACTTGTTGCTGATTATGGATCCTGACAACTTCAATCTTTTTCTCCCTTTATCGTGAAGTTGATCTTCATCAGTATTTTAAGTTGTCTTCACTTCAAGCAGGGTTGTATCATGGGCATATCGCAGGTCATTTGTGAGGCTTCCTCTAATCCTGATGACATTTTATTAATATAATCCAGCTTCTTGAATTATTTATTTAGCATTCAGACTGAATTGCTAAGTTTTGTCAAGGTGATTCTGACTCATAAGAGACAGACACCCTGTATATATAGGGTTGCCAAGAAGCAGCTGGTGGGTTCAATTGCTCATCTTGTGGTTCAAAGTCCAGTGACACAATGAGGAGTCTATGTAGAGTGAATAAGTATGGTTAACAAGGATACAACCCTAGCACACACCTTTCCTGATTTTAAACAACTCAGTATCCCCTTGTGCAGTTCAAACCATTCCCTCGCTTCACAATGTTATCCATAGTTTATGATCCACACTTCTGAAAGCCTTTGCAAAGTCAGTAAAGCAAAACATCCAAAACATTTCGTTAGGCGGCCTTTAATCCAGTTCATGTGTACATTAGTAAATCCATTTGTTCTTCACAGTGCTGTCCAGTTGGTTCCTACTCATAGTGGCTGTGTATACAATAGAACGAAACACTGCTCAGTACTACGTCATTCTCATAATTGTTATATTAGAGCCCAATGTTGATGCCACGGTGTCAAAACATCTTATGTGCAGGTCAGTCCTCCTCTTTTTCAATGACCCCTCCACTTTACAAAGGAAGCATGAAGTTCTCCAGGGAATGGCCCCTCCTGATAAACGTGTCCTAACTATAAGAAGCGAAATCTCACCATCCTGGCTTCAAAGAACAATCTGGCTATATTTCTTCTGAGACAGGTATGTTTGTTATTCTGGCCCTCCATGGTACTCTAAATATTTTTTTCCAACACCATAATTCAAATGCATTGATTCTTCTCTGTTCTTCCTTATTCACTGTCCAACTAAGGAAACTGAAAATACCATGGTTTGGGTCAAACATACTTTAGTGCTAAACTCTGAAATCTTGGCTCTTGAACACTTTCTAGAAGTATTTTGTAGGAGGTCTGCCTAATGCAGTACGTTGTTTGACTTCTTAACTGCTGCTTCTATGAGTGTTGGTTGTGAATCCAAGCAAAATGAGATCTTTGATAACATTACAACATAGAGAAAAATGAAGTTATGTATTGATCCAGCAGACCCATTGGAGAAAGCCTTACCATCTATTCTTTCCTATCCTGTCACTGTGAGTCAGAATCGACTTGACTTTAGGAACATGACAACAGAAGCAAGTGAAACACATTATAAGTAAGGTGCAATGATTGTTTAGTGTTTCTGTTTTCATTCCTTTCTCCTATTGTTCAGTGACATCAGGTGGTTCTGACTCATAGGTACCCTGTATAAGTTCTGAAGAGCAGCTGGTGGGTTTGAACCACCGACCTTGCTTCTCCCCTTCTACTGCTATAGCAATCCAGTAAGAAAAATGGGTGAATTTAAAAATGAAGAACCAGATACATACTCATCATGAACAATGGTGGGCCCATCCCTTGTTAAGGCCTCTTCCTTGATAACGTTGATAAGCTCAAAGGTGCTGCTTATGGGGGCATCTGGGTTAGGCCATTTGGGGCACTGAAAGTGCCGAACTTCTAGGACGTAGTCATCCTGTAACCGAGACAACATGAGTCACAGTCCCTCCTCAATGAATGAACAGACAACAGGCTGCAGACTAACCAAACTGGCATTCTAGAGAGCGGGCCTGCCATTTAAGGTAATAAAACAGTAGAGTCCCACTTTGTTTAGGCAAAAATGCCAAATTATAATAAAGACTTTACAGCCTATCTGTATAATGCAAGGAAAAATATGGAGAGGCCTAGAAAAACATTTCAATTACTGTACAAAAGCCCCCCTTTCTTACCCATCACATAAAAAGGCAGTTATTAACTTCACAAATGTTTAAAAAGACACACCACACAGTTAATATTACCTCTGCAACATACCGCAAGGCTTACATTTCTGATGGCAAAGAAAATATTGAGCTCTGGTATATTGTTTTTATAATTAGGTCAACGGACCTATTGGTATGCATGCTGAAGCAGAAGAACTGTTACACTTCATCTATCCAGCTAGAAAAAGCAAATATTTGAAGGAAGGGAAATGTACATATTTAAAGCGAAGTTTCACTCATATGCGTAGGTGTGTCTTGAGGGTGGTGAATTACTTCATTATTACGGAGGATGATGCTCCAGGGCCCAGGCATGGCTATTATGGAAGAACTCTGGTACAGATTACCTGTGTAGCTTCAAGGATAAAGTCATGGATGATAATTTGTTCTTCATTAGAGAGGCACAGTCTGTCTTTACTGATAAGGGTGACAGTGAAGGCCTCACAGTTCATAGATTCCTCCCGACTTGGCCAGTACACAAACTCATCTTCTGCCTATGGGGAGAAAACACGTTCTCTGCAGTGCTGTCTAACATTTGGCTTTGAATTTTCCTGCAAAATGATTTCATGTATTTGCCATTTCCCATACCTCTCAAGTCATCTCTTAAATTGGGTTCACAGAATTACAGCCTTCTCTAATCATTCTGTGTTGATTGGCTATTGTTCTTTTTTCTAAAATATAGCTGATCATAAACTGTTCCTAGAATCTGACTTTTAGAGGGAAAGATGTAAGTACCAACAAAGAACTGTCTGACAAAGTGAGTTTTATTGAATATGGTATCCTCTGTGAAAAATATAACCAAAGACTCATTTCTAGGGAGGCATGCTCTGCGACAGAAAATGCATGGAGGGAGCTACAGGTTTGAACTTTGAACAAGTCCAGAAACACACTTTTTATCACTTGCTTTCATTCAGAGGAGCCTTGTCAATGACTTGCCTACTGCTTCTGTTTTCAGAAGTGGTTATACAGACAAGAAGATAGCAGACAGAGAAACTTTTCTCAACAAGTGTGCTCTTGGCATTTCTAACCTGTGACATTGTAACAACCCAGAACACATCTTTAAAGGATGTCATACCCTAGTTGAGCAGTATTTTGTAATGATTTGTCAAGGTATAAAATGTGACAAGATCTAAGTCAATTAATATATAATATTAACTTATTATTTCACAATTTCATAAGCAACCAAGACATGCTAAGTAATGGTTATTTCCCATGGCTTAAATTAATAATAACTGATGAGCTTTATGTTAATTATCTATACTAAGCACTGGACTGCTGACAGAAAGGCGAGTGGTTCAGACCTACCAGCTGCTCCTCAGAAACCCTACACAGGGTGGCTATGAATTAGAACCGACTTGGCAGCACTTAACAACAGCAGTTCTATGAAAAATATTCCTGTCATCTCTACCTTTATAGATTAGTAAGGACACCAAAGCTCAGAGAGGTTTGTTAATTGTTTAAAACCAACTGCTTGTAAAAAGTAAGGGGTGGTGCCAAAAAACCCCCGAAAAGCTGCTCTTTAAGCTGCTCTTTAAAAGAACAATTGATTTGTCAGTGTTAGGCTTCAAGAGAAAACAGCCGACAGCCTTTCCGCCTTGACTCAGGCAGGTCTGAACTGCTGCATGCACCATTTTACAATTACAGATAGTCAGGCTTGCTACGTGAATTTCATCCCTGAAAACGATGGAGGCCTAGGACAAAGTCATTCACTAGCTGAGTTGGAGAGTTGGTGATAAACAATGATTATCATGATGAACCTCCTGCTCCGTTTCCTTACCAGTTCCAATAACAGACTGTACTAGCAGTTGCCTGAACTATCTAGATTTCTATGGGCATTTTCCTGAAAATGCTTAGCTACTACAGTTAAGTCAGAAATAATTCTGACAAATTATTCAAAACAAAGAAAGCTTTGTTTAATCTTACATTGTTGCATTAGGAATGAGCCAACAGTCCAATAAGACTTATCACCCTTTCAAGTTTCAATATAGTTGATTGCCAAGTACATTTTTATTTTTAAAGCTCAGCATACGGGGAGACAGATTAGCAACTGGGTGTAGTCTATACAAAAGAAGTCTGTAACTATAGTGGGCTTTAATACATGTTGGCCAAAGGCATGGAAGCTGGGCCTCTAAATTTGACCTACATGAATGGAGTCAACATTTTTCTGCTTTCTTACAAGCAAAGGACCAAGGTGAAAGGATCATAAGATTTAGGATTGAATGTGATCCTGGATAAATCAGTGTTAAGCCTTAATTTCCAGATCTGAAAAATGGGAATAATAAAACGACGTACCTCAAAGAACTATGAGAACATGCATAGTAAATGATCTGATTTGCCTGAAGGCTATGAAAGTGATTTTAGTTATGCTGAGATGATCTTCAACTTTTGAACAGAAATACTGACCTAGCAGTTAATTATTTATGTTGAAATACTCAGGACAATGAGTGTTAGTTACTTCTTTGATTCCACAACCACCTTATGTTTACTGCCTTGTTGTACTACTTATAGGTCAGAGGTGCCTGAACACGTAAAGTGTTTTCACAGGCAGAATTACTGTCCTTCACGGGGCTACTCCTGGTGTGGCACTGTAGGATCAGCACTGGACTGCTAACCACACATTGGTTCAAACCCACTTAACACCATGGGGCTAGCAGTAGCAGTGTTAGGTGTCATCGAGTTGGTTCCAACTGATAACAACCCTGTATAGTGTTTCCAAGGAGCAGCTGGTGGGTTTGAGCTACCAACCTTGTGGTGTGCAGTCCAGTGCTGATCCTACAGCGACACACCCTGTGATAAACAAAGAATCCCAAGACATTATTTTTAGGAAATAATCCAACCGTAGATCTCAAAGCTGAGTCAAGAGACAAGTCTGCTGCGCCTGGCCTCAGGGAGACACTGAAATGACAAGTTCCAGGGTGGCTCCTGCATCCTTATTGTCTGGAACACGGCTCCTCCCAGCCTCCCATGCAAATGAGCTCTCCTGGGTGGATGCTTCTTAATGACGACGAGAACAAACTACTGATTCATCCAACAAATGAACGTTTTCACAACCCTAAATGCCTCCAGTTTCCACATGCCAAAGAGAAGAGACCCCTGGTGCCAGCTAATTTGAAAATTTACACTCCAGCTTTTAGTTTAAGATTCTCAACTTTGTTACCATTCTATCATCCAGAAGCAGTCTTGGTATTCTGAAGCTGGAGCAAAATGCGACAAAGTGAAGAAGTTCCTACTGACTGGGCATGCAGTCAAATGCATGTCATCAAGACTAGGGGTTCAATCTCATGCTGTTCTCTCCTGATTAATCTGACACTCAGGCAGGCAGATCTCCATTGGTTTTTTGTGGATGTTTTGACTTTGTGGGCTCACATGTCCACATAGAAAATTTTGAAGGCGCCTCTACCTGTGTTACTACCTATGCATGTGGTCTGAAGCTGCACACGTTTATGTTTATTTTAAAAACATGCCACCCTTATCCCAGATAGTCTAGAGGCCGGAATAGGAAAGGACCAAGAAAGGGGAAAGAATTACTAAACTTAGCTAAGGTCATAAAAAGTGTCGAACTTTTGGGTTGATGGAATTTTTTTTGGCTGGAAACATTTTTATGATATGGAGTAGGACAGATAGAAAAATAGTTCAACAGATGATTCAGGTTTGAATCTTGGCTCTTATTAGTCTGCCTCTGGGCAAGTCACTTCCTCAGTTTTCTAAGCAATTAAATGGGCTAATACTCCTCATAGTACTCCCCCCCACCCCCACCCCCCCCACAATCTCCTCCTGAAGTTGTGGAATTAACTTGGTTACACTCTGAATAGTTAGCTAGCTGTTTCAATCATTCAGTTATTTTGCAAAAGTAACAGGAAGCAGGCCAGCGGTCTATCCGAAGTTCTACCATAATAAGGCTACTGAAAGGACCTTTAATCAAAACCTTCCACTGCACAACCTTACAATTATGACATAATTAACATCAGCATCAGAAAATCATGTAATAGTATACAAGGAATCTGTATAGATTTTAACATGACAAGTCTATGTCCCCTCCCTATAGCTCTGTGGCAAGGTAACATAGTAATCTTTGCTTATGGCTTCCGGGATTCATTAGTATAGAGCAGATGTGATTTCCTTACCAAGCTCTGGTTGTCTGGCAGCATGACAATGATCTGTGCATTATGATCCCAAATCATTCGCCAGAAATCCTTCGTAGTATGTGGCAGAGGATGCTGGGTTATAATAAATTCATTGCTCCTATAATAGCCCTTCAGTGAGGAAGAAGGAAAAATCAGTGATCACTAAGTGTTTTATTTTTGCATTGTGGCAATAGGATATAGTGATGAAATAAGACAGCATTGTTTTGACTGCACTAAAATAATTGAAAAAGGCATTCAGTACATTGGACTAATTTTCAGATGTATGTCTGTGTTAATTTTCTCTCCACGTGCAAGTCACTTATAGTTACCCCTGCTGTTTTTACTTAACAGTAAAACATTTCAACATTTATTCAAAGACTAGATGGGTGAAATTAACAATAAAATTAATTCCTTAAAAAGCATTAAAGAATTTTTGTACCCCCACTGACTAGGTGTCTTTTGTTGGAGAGGTTTCAAGATATGGAAATCTCTATACTTTTTATATTACCCATCGAAGAATTGTGTGAAATGAAATCAGTCACATAGGTGGTATCTGCTCTTTAGCACCTTTCAGTTTAATTGACTTCATTTATAATGAAATGTTGACTCTCACCATGATATAAGAAGCATTAATGTAATCTGTTCCTTTCATTCCAGGCAACGGGGCAAGACCCACTCGAGCGCGCTCAGCTATGATAAGGAAAAAACAAAAACACCATATTTGCTTTCTACACATAAAAGCAACAGAGCTTTCAGAGATTTACTTGGTGAGTAATATATCCCCTGGCTCCTCTTTCTGAATAAGATTTACCTGCACTTTAGCCAAGCAAAAGTGTTATCAGCTAAGGCAGAATGTAAAATGAAATTCTGTTCCACAGAGACCAAAAAATTGTTCTTTGCTGTTGTCCAACCACTTATCCATATACTTCTGGCCATGAAAAGGTCAGAATACAGTGGTCTTTTCCAGTGGAGAAGATCGCGCATGCCTGTGGCTACAGTATTAGTCAGTGTCCTGAGCTATTTCTACAAAGGTCAACTACCCATCCGCAGCAATACCTTTAACGTAATAGCCAGAATGTGATGTCAACAGGCCCATCCAACCCTGAGTTTTAGAGCAGCGTTAAATGTCTCAGTGATCATAGTTTTATTGGCTTTTAAGTCAAAATGTGGTAGAAGTAGCTTAGTTCTTGATTTTTGAGATGAACTGAAGGTGGTAGACTTCAGGGCATGCAGATGTGCTGATAACCATCCGCCTAGTTTCATCACACAAGCTGATCTAAACAGGTTTGCCCTTTATAGTATTTGCCTCTTTTCACAATACATAAAATCCAATTTATAAAATATTACTATAATCAACTAAATGAAATGATTTGAGAATCTTACACGGCACGACTGAAGAATTTCTGTTCTTTTCTTTGTTACACTCTTTCTGAGCACTGAAGCATTCCACATACTTTGCATTACATTGTGTGACCAGCTGGAAAACAAACACACACACACCAGTTTAGTCTTCATTTAGGGTATAATCAACAGCATTTACTTGATAATTTGTTTTTTTTTTAAAAAAAAACACACCCACAATCTGGTTGCTGATGAACAAACATAGTTTTATGCCCTCAGACACTCTGTGCTGCATCAGCATGTTCCTCTCCGGTACCTTGGTTTTTTGTCTGCATGCCTTGTCTCTGTCAGGCTGCAGCACAGTGGACATCATAGACAGGTACTCAATTAATACAGGTTGTTCCCTCTTGTGGGAAGTTTCTACTAGGAATTTTTCTATGTAATTCGTCTTAACTGTAAATCAGTGAGTCTACACAAACAGGGTGGCTTAATGGTACTAAGAGTGAATCCTGTTTCTTAAGATGAAGCACTGAATAGGCTCTTGGTAAGTATCTGTTGAACTGGTACCGTACAAAGGTCTTTGTAAATTACATTAGCCCAGTAATTTCTTCATTCTTCTTGTTTATGTTGCTTGGTTGGATTATTTTGTCTACCCTTTTTCTTTGGGAGGGGGGTTGGGGTCCACCTTAATAGAAGCTATGGGGATGGATTTCCCCAACAACTGCTTTAGTATCACCACACTGAGCTCTGAATGCAGTTTTCATTTTTGTGAGGCGTCAAAAAGTTTGTGGAAAAATTCCATTATCTTTCCCTCCCATTTTTCCACTGAGGTTTCCTCTATATACATACCACTGCGATAAAGTTGGTTCCCACTCACAGTGAGTCACCTTATAGGACACAGTCCAGTTGCCCTTATAGGGTTTCTCGGGTCATAAATCTGTGTGAAAGCAGACTGCTTCATTTCCCTCTATGGAGAAGCTGCTATGTTCAAACTGCGGCCCTTTTGGTTAGTACACCAATGCTTGCCGCAGAGCTCCCCTTATATGCAGTTTGTTGTTAAATGCGGTCAAGTCGGTTCTGATTCAGAGCAAGCCTGTATAGGGTTTCTGAGGACTGGATGGTGGGTTTGAACTACCAACCCTGCAGTTAGCAGTCCAGTGCTTATGCTACAGTACCACAACCAGATTACCCTTAAGTGGTTATGTAAATACTGCAGAAATGTTGATACTGCCATAGGTTTTTAAGATGTTAAATGGAGAAAAAAAATGAAAATTATACGGCATGAACTCGGTGAAATTGGTCTACTTTTCATATAACTTGCTCTAATTTGATCGGTTCTCATTTGATCTCATTTCTCCAGCTGAGTTTTGTCTTTGATTCTATGTTTTACAACAAGAACTAGAACTCCAAACAGTCCAAAATTGCTTACATATAAAACCAATGCGCTAAAAACAGAACTTAGCAGGTTAATCAAAGACTAATAAATAGGAACGCACTTAATAACCAGTGGTGGTGGTGGTTATGTGCTGTGGAGTCAGTTCTAACTCATAGCGATCCTATGTAGGGTTTCCGAGCCTGTACATCTTTACAGGAGCAGAAAGCCTCATCTTTCTCCTGCACTAGTACTTAACGTCGTAGAGAGACAAAAAATATTTGAAAAGTTGAGTAAATTCGGCAAAACCTTTTCTGATCTTAACTACCATAGTAATTAAGTGCTGTCGACTTGGTTCCAATTCCTAGTAACACTGTGTAGGGTTTCCGAGGAGCTGCTGGTTGGTTTGAACTGCCCACCTTGCAGTTAGCAGTCCAGTGCTGGTCCTATAGTGCCACACCAGCCCTCCATTTAATTGCTATAATAGTCTTTATAGTCTCTTTTTTTTTTTTTCAACCTAATAACTTCAGTCCATATAAACCTTAATTATCTCTAAACACCACGCCTTTCTTGAGGTAAAACAGTAACCGTTAGAGGAGAACTTTTCTTTAGGAGTCTTCAGTAACTCTAGCTCCTAAATTAACTGCTAGAGTAGTCTTTCAAATTGCTATAGGACCCATTTTTAAAAGGATGAGATAAACTAGATAAGAAATCAAGTCTTTTTTAATCACTGTGGTTGGGGGCTGATGTTCAGATAAGTCCTACATTTTTCAGAAGACAATAATGCACTAAGTATACTATCTAACTGAAATACCAGCATAAGCTGAAAAGTTATTTTTCTTCACTTTAAATAGTATATACAATATAAATAGTACAAGTACAATACTCTATAATCCTTTTTAGTTTACACATTACACATACTCTTCATTTGGAGTCCTGGTGTGGCATTGTAGGATAAGCCCTGGACTGCTAACCAAAAGGCTGGCAGTCCAAACCCACAAGCTGCTTCTTGGAAGCCCCTGTGCAGGGTCATTATGAGTCAGCATGAGCTGAAGGCACATAATAACAGCTCAGTTATCAACTAACTCAGCTTCATTTTGAATTTCTGACAAGAGTAGAACAATCTGCTTAAAGCCAGGTAAGGGCCCATGTGTTCTGAATGAGAATGCCTTCCTCCTGAGCTCCAAGTCCTTAATTTCTCCCCTCTCCTCAATCTTAGGTGTCCTGGTGTGTGGCACTGTAGGATAATGTGCTGGACCACCACAATGTCAGTTTGAACCGCACGATCGCTATGAGTCAGAACCAACTCCACGGTACATAACAACCACCACCGCCCTAGTCTTAAGGAGCTCTGGTAGGGTAGTGGTTACGAATCGGGCTGCTAACCTCAAGGTCAGCAGTTTGAAACTACCAAACTGTTCTATGGGAGAAAGTTGTGGCTTTCTGTTCCTGTAAAGATTTACAGCCTCAGAAACCTATATAGGGTCTCTATGAGAGACCGACTCCGCAGTACACCACCCCCACCCCCACCCCAGTCTTTTATGGGAATAAAGTTAAGGTGGGGAGAAGGGGGAATAAAAGACTGGACACAGGGACTTTGGGCCATTAACCTGTGTGTGTGTGCTCAGTGTCCTCACCAAATCCTAGCCACAGGCTAGTAGCTACCCTAAGGGGCTGTCACTGGAACTTCAAATAATGACTCAGTCTTTGGAAGCTAACCATGTTAGTAAATACTGGGGATAACCATGTTAGTAAATACTGGGGAAAGTAACGCAATAAAAGGCACAATCACTCCCACCCCGATGATGCAAACTCAAATGCATTTTGTACTTCCTTGTTTGTTTTTTTTTAAAGATTACCTTGAACTGTTTTTCCAGGCGTGTCTTTCCTCCTAATCCAGGTATAAGGATGCTGTTAACATAACTATGCAGCTGATTTGAAGATACTTCAGTCTCCTTTCCAAGAATGGCTTCCAACAAGGCATCATGGATGAAAATGTACTGTTCCTAAAAGGTACAACAATATCATGGTAGTTAGTGAAGAAAGCTGTTCCACAGAGTCAGTTCCAACTCATAGCAACCCTGTATACGGTTTCTGAGGCTATAAATCTTTCTGGGAGCAGAAAGCCTCAGCTTTCTCCTGCAGGCCAGCTGGTAGTTCCAAACTGCTGACCTTACGTTAGCAGCCTGACTCGTAACCACTACGCTACCAGAGCTCCTTGTTAAGGGAAGTAGCCAACTGTATTCAGTTCAGGAAGAAATTATCTTCAAATGAACTGTTCCTCACTGGACTTCCGGGTTGTCTTAGTTCTGTAGTGCGGCTGTAACCAACATTCATTTTCTAACTGCTCAGGAGGCTAGAAATGTGATTTCAGGGTGCTGACTCTAAATGAAGGCTTTCTGTCAGCTTTGAGAGAAAAAGCCTTTGCCTCTGGTTTCTAAAGATTTCCAGTGAGTTGGCATCAATTTTCCCTCAACCTCTGCTTGTCTAATCTGCTTCTTTCATAAGAGATTGACTCAAATGTGGCCTTAGGTGGAATCCTGAGTCTGAATAAGAATTTTCAGGGAAATTCCTAGTTGAAAAGACATGCAGACCAACCCTGAACAGCTGGAAGAAGACAGGATATTTCTTGAAACAAAGACCAATGATGAGGGGAGAAGGAAAAAAAAAAAAAAGACTGTTTGGCTATGACACTATCAAGTAAGCTATTTGGCCCAGGATCATCAAGGCAAGAAAAGTCAGTCCATTAGTGTAAATCTCTTTCTAACACTGAAACTCAAAAGGGATCACAACCTTGCTTGCTGAAAGTGAAGAGGATTTAAAACATTTACTGATGAAGATCAAAGAGCACAGCCTTCGGTATGGATTACATCTTAATGTCAAGAAAACAAAAATCCTCACCACTGGACCAATAAACAACATTCTTATCAACGTAGAGAAGATTGAAGTTGTCAAGGACTTCATTCTTCT